TAGGTATTCTTGGCACATCAGAGAATATTTAGTTATTTAATAATGCAATATTTAAATAAATGATACCAAAACACCTCAAAACACAGTCCCCTATTCGTCCCTTTCCTTACGACAGCATTAGATGAAATAGAAAAAAAAATGGACGAGTGCACCAAATGGAGAGAAATAGAAGGTAAATATAAAGATGTACAAATTAGGCCACCTATAAAGATCAATAATAGATTAAAATGTATAAAAGGTCCTAAGAGACTCTGATGAAAAACTGTAAAAATATCATAGAGTCTAAGCCGATGAATTAATATGCAATGGATATTGTTATAATAGAAAGACGAAGAGTGCTACATATTTTTTTATTTATTGTACCGAATAGGTACAATAATTATTATAAATGGTAGGTACTATCTGTTATGTAAATTTTTTTTATTGGAAATGCGAGCTTCTCGCCTAAATCGCCTTTGTGGAAAAAACTTGTCGCTTTTTTAGCATGTAAGTAGGTTATGTAATAATATTTCATGCTTCCATAGTCATACGTCACGTTCGTGAAGTATAAAAATAGTACCTACCTGATCGTATGCATATGACTGTTAAAATAAAATAGTATACGCAGGTACTTAAATGTAGGTGTACAGTTTTTAATGATCCTTCAGTACTCGCTACGTTGTTTTACACAATATTTAAAAATATGTTTATAGCTCTAGAATCGTAAATAGAAAATTCATATTTACCAGGTTGACCAGAAATTATAAGAAAACGAATTCGAATGTTTAAAATATATTTTAATATCCTAGTCAGAAATACATCTAGAAGATTATCATCACTAACACACTATAAATAATCTTCAATTATATCATTTTAATTAAAAAGTTGCAGCTTATGTGTGTGTGAGCAAGTGTGATTTTGATGTTTGTGGAAAAAACACACTAATCAAAACTCACTCATCACGGCCATACCTGACATTAAAAATTGCCGGTCACTTCAAGCGTTGTTTTCTGAGAAAACCGTTTATTCTAGAGAAAAAGTGCTAATAAACATTTTTATTCAAAACTATTTCGGCTACATTTTTTGTTAGAACATTTTTCGTACGGGGTACAGAATCTTAATAAATCGATGTTTCCTGTTTTTTCGATTATGTTTTAAGGGGTAGCCCGGTAATAGGCTTTTTTGCATCTTTTTGGTTTCATAAAATTGACATTCTCAGCTAAATTCCACTTGTTTGGCCATTTTATATACTTTTGTTATCCTCCCTGGTATCAAATTGATGGTATAGATAGTAAATTAAGTTTAATATTTATATATAATATTTAAATCATTTTATTGTATGGTAATAGTTTTAGACTTAGCTCTGATAAGGGTAGTTTTACTAAAAGTATTCAGCTAAAATCTAATAAATGCTTACAACTTTAAAAATACAATTTTAAGTGTAATATATTTGATTTCAAAATAAATTCTACGGTATGCTGAGACTTTGTGACAATAAATTGTAATATGAAACTACACAATTGAGGTTACAGATGCAACTTTTAAGTATCCATTATAAAATTGAACGCTAAAATATGTGGCTAGTAAAATATCTGATAACTATCACATTAACAATATGAAGGGCGTATTGCCTTTTAACTAGTGATATGTTACATTATAATTTCACTGACATATTAGGGCTGCTCGAAAAGTTCACGAGAAGAAACAAATTTATAGTTTATTAAATAGCTTTTGTTGGTTTATATATACTCTCAATAAAGTTCAAAACTTTTCTAGCGATTCCTGAATTTATTGTTCCATCCATCCAAGTAAAAGAATGTAAATATATCTCTGAAAGTGTAGTTTACAAGTTTATAGCAACTATTCATTAATAACAACCGAAATGTCAATACAAGGAGAAGATTCTACAAATAATTCGAAAATACAATAACATACATGCCACCAAATGAATGTATGATAATTAAAGGTGATTCTAACGCTACTGTGGACGATGACATAGGGGGTAACCGTGTACACCTTGTAATAGTAAATCTTGTGCTTAGTGATACTTATATTACAAAGAATAATACAAATAAATGTGGTAGAGAACACAGATCTATGACACGATTCGATTTTATCAAACATATAGTTACACCCTTCTCAAGTTTTGGATACTAGCACAAATGAAATACGTGTTAATAATACTTTTTTTCCTCACAAGAAATAATACAATAAGTATACATAACGTAGTGTAATGTCACATTTAGACACATCACCGTACCGGTTACATTGACTGCTTTGTTCAACTTTTGTCCTAGTATGTCATTTAATCAGTTGCTATCAACAAGTCCTCACAGATACTTCGTCTAAGGACTAGCAAACCCTTAAAGGTTTTTCCTACATATTTAGTGGCTTCAAATGTAAATCCATAAGAATTAAACCACATTTTTGTAATTACCTTCGTCAAAATTCTAACTGTTACGTTTGCTTTAATTAAAGTAGTAGTACTTATTTTAGGATAGTACTGATGATGGAATATTTATTCCGAAAACGTTTTGTGATGTAGCCCGATAGGGTTTTTATATTAATATACCTTTTATAAAGGATTTTTTTTAAATAAAAATTTTCTACTCCTCAAAATTTAATCACATACAAACAATATTGTGAGTATTTTCTAAGGCCCCATTAAAGTTCACGTGCAAATATATGCACATTTCGACGAGCTAATCCTACCACATACTAATCCTGTCAAGGAGAAGTTTCACGGTGACGAACCCACGTACTTAGTAGACAAGAGTCGAGTTGAAAGTTTGCAGGATGATTCACCAAGATATTTCAAAAAAAGATAACAGAAGCAAAAAACATATACAAACAACAAAAAGAATTGGTCATAATTGTATACCACGATTTTTAGGGACTATGGTCTAAAGTCTGATTCGGCCTAACTTTTCACTATATGTAAGGTGCACGCAGAATAAAGTTACATTGGTTGTTAAAACAAAATTTACATTAATATAACCGAATTTTTTAATTATTGCTCCAAAACAGTTTAAAGTACTATTTATGAAAATTTTTATTGTCTTAGGATGCCATGGTTAATAAAACCAAAGTAGCGAAAATATTTTTTTCTCGATTTATCTAAATATTAAAAATGGGGTCTTTAAATATTTTTTTTCTCCAACTTTTTTGTAGTATAATATTGAACTAAGAATGAGATGTCATGGAACGAAGCTATATTTATAATGAGGCAAGTGCAAGAGAAATCATTAAATACAACAAACCGCATTATGTTTCGTGGAATTTGAAAAGGCATTTGACCGGGTCAAATTAAAGGACGTTATACACCTGTTATGCTATATTGTACGGAAGAACAATACCTCTAGTAATAATCAAAACTCTCGATAATATCACCAAAACAACACAATAAAATAAAGTAAAAAAGAACTACTGACCCTATTGAAGTGGCAAATACGGGACCGAGATAATTGTCACATGGAGATATCAGAACTAGGAAACCAATGGAGAAACACAACTTAAAATATCTGCTATGAAGACGACGCAATACTACTCTCTCAAATGAAGATGAATTACAACATATGCTGCATCAACTTCATATAACTGCTTTTGCACGGTATAAGAAACTTTGTCTTATGTGCTCTCTTCTCTTGGTCTTCCTGCAACAGTCGGCTTGAGTGACATCACTTGTAATTACACCAGTATACCAGGTCGAATGTAAGATCAACGCGATGCAGGTCCAAGAAGAGAGTTCTTGTTTAAGAGAGTTCTTGTTTTAGAATTTTAAATACAAAGAACTCTCAGTAAGTGTCTTTTACCACACCACTCTTCTTTAATACTAGGCCTTATACCCACATTGAGAGCTCTGGCGTATGGACCATTACTTCTTGCATATTCGTAGGGCTAGAATGGATCAAATAAACAAACATAAAAAAAGGAATTCTGAAACCAATTCAAAAATTTCTAAAATGACTTCCAAAAAAAAATGTTTATTATACTAAGGAAGAATTAACAATTACTAAAACATCAGGTGGAAAACCAACATTCACGCACTCTTACAAACACCAAAAACTTTAGGTGCCTTGACAATACTTGTTCGAAGCATAAAGAGGAAATCTGAAAAACATTGATTCTTTTGAAATCTGAGAAATATTGTTCAACAAATCTTAATCGAAAGCTCTTTGATCCAAGGCCAACGAATACTCAACGCACTTTCAATTGTGATGCTGATAGCCATTTTGCTATCTCTTGCTATTTCTTGTTAATTGTCCTTTTATTTATAACCATATTACATATAAAATTAATAATTTCTCAACCATTTTCCACTTCGTGATGACCTTTAAACCATTTTCACAAACAATTTCATAATTAGAATGAAAACGACTAATATAATTACATATTTTACAAATAGGAGTCATATAAAATAGTAGCTCCAATTAAAGTTTTATAAACAATTGTATATTAAATAGAAGTTGTAGCGATTAAAAGTACTATCTTAATAGGTATTACATTCCTTCTGCACATTAATGTCTATTATTCTTTTTGTTCGTATGCAAACCAAAACGTAAACAATATTGTTTTGATTTGATTAGATGCATTAAATTCATTCTAAGAAATATCATGAATATTTAATATATTTATTAAATTTCCTTTTTTATTTTTAGACTGTCTTATTATCTATTTAAACTGAAAATATTAAAATTCAGTAATTTAAGATATAGATATTTACACTTTAATTGAATTATCTTGATAGAAACATTTTTATTTCAGATATCATCTATACAGAGCATTCTTATCTAAGCGTGAAGATAGAGGTTGTATCTATAGCTATTTCTCACAGAGGACAGCGTTTAGTTGACAAATTACTCTCAACAAGTGACTGTTACGCAGACAACGCAATATTGATAGCCCAACATGAAGATAGTCTGCAAAGACTGGTCCACAGATTTAACATAAGAGCAAAAGAATTTAATACGAAAATCTCATCTCCGCAAATAGAGAGAGTGACAAAATATAAATATCTGGGAGCTTACATCAACACAGAATTAGATCCAGACCAAGAGATCAGGGTACGAATAGAAATGGCAAGGGCAGCGTTCTTAAAACTCAAGCAATTGTTCTGTGACAAAAATCTGAATACTGCGCTGAGACTGAGGTTTGTTGAATGTTACGTCTGGTCCCAACTATTGTACGGGGTAGAAACATCGACGTTAAAAGCGCAAATAGTTAAGAAGCTTGAAGCCTTTGAACTTTGGAAATATCGGAGAATGTTGAGAATTCCATGGAGTACCAGGGTCACCAATGAGGAAGTGCTGAGAAAGATGGGTCGGGGAAAAAAATTGTTGAGAACAATAAAAGTATGCAAGACAGCATACGTTGGACAGATACTGAGGAATGATAAATATAGTCTTCTGCAGGTCATCATGCAGGGTAGAGTCGATGGCAAAAAGGGAATAGGTAGAAAGAGGAAGTAATGGCTGCGAAATATTCGAGACTGGACAAACATGCTATCTCAGAACAGAAAGATCTCAACACAGCTATCTCGTATAGCAACCAACAAAGTCATCATAGCCAGAATGATCGCCAACGTTCGGAACGAACAGGCACCCTAAGAAGAAGGACAAACATGACTGTAGACGAATTATTCCACGTTGCAAAAGACAGAGAAACTTTTAGAAATGTGTTCGCCAACCTCCGTTAATGGGGACGATATAGGAAGAAGAAGACTGAAAACTGAAACGCCAAAACATATAATGAGAAACAGAATAGCGGAAAATCCTAGAACAAGCCAGGACAAAGAAAGTTTTGTCGAGCTACTGATGACGATGATAGGAAGAAGAAGAATCTCATCACAGAAAACTAAAACAATAGTAGTCAGCAAAGAAAAAATCAGATGTAAAATAGAAATTGATGGCATCAGTATTGAATAAGTTATGGAAATGAAATACCTGGGAATTGCACCGTCCCGGAGACCTGGACAAAGAAGTGAGAGATCAAGTACAAAAAGCAAATAGACTGTCAGGATGCCTTAATAACACTACATGGCGAAACAGACACATTAAGACTGAGATAAAGTCAAGGATTTATAAAGCCAGTGTAAGACCAATAATGAGATGTCTCAGAAACAAGAAACGACACAGCCACAACGCAAAGGAAAGAGCGGAGATGAGAGTACTGAGAACAATTACAGTAAATTAGGGAATACAGGAAGACATTAGAAGAAAATGTAACGTACAAATGAATGGACACAAAATAGAAAAAAAGAATGGAATAACCGCATAAGCAGAATGGAGGAAAGCCATGTCGTCAAAATAGCAAGAAATAACTCACCAAACGGCAAAAGAAGTATCGGACAACCGCGCAAAAGATGGAGTTACATCCTTCCATAGAGGTATTAATCCGCCAATGAACAAGCATAATTGCTTATAAGAAGAAGAAGAAGAAGAAGAAGTTGGCTGTTACTTATTAGTGTAGTCCGGCTTAGCTGTATCCAAAACCAGCATCTCTTCTTTTAACGATCTGTTCTTCTCCACTTGGAGATCCCTACGTTATTATCTCTACTCGGAAAGGTTATAGGATTATCTATTATATATTATAGAGCTAGAAAAACTGAAGTGTGCTATTTTTATCTCAAAAATACTTTGAAATTGAGTAGTTGGAAGGTGATTCATTGGATAAATCGACGCAGTTATAATGACATACGGAAAATTAAATTTTTTTCCAAGAAAAGTACTACCGTCTTTTAAATATACTAAATACCTAGGAATTATACTATACTGGACTTTTTTACGTAAATAACACTTCAGAAAACTTCATAACCTCTACAAAATAACTTCTCCATCTGCTATGTTCAGCGATGAACCTGGTGTATTATGTGGTGAAATACATCCTTCCTTATGGATTAAGAACCTTTATATAAGGTGCTATATGTATACTAGTAGTGTATACCAAGATAATCCTCATTTGGAAAATCCAAAAACTGTCCTCTAATAACTTACAGGTTAACTTCCGACGAACCACATATTGATAGCATACTCTGTCTTGAACAATTGATCACAGGTGTTAATTTGAATCGAAAGATGCGGACGACATGAAATAGAATCCGCATAGGATGTAAATATGCTGATATTTTAAAAAGAGGGGTAAGATTCAGTCACCGTATTGTAAGTGCGACCAAGAATGCCCTATGTAACCATACCCAGAACTATGCCAAAATTTCCTTGGAGTAACAATCGATGCAATAAATGGAATATGATTCATTTAATGTATGTTTAATACCTAATAGTTTCTGTAAACATTTTCCTTAATATTACGATATGCCCAAACAAAATAACAATCTAGTAATAATGTATATTAGGATAAATAATAAATAGCTCACTACTACCAATGGTGTTTCTTATTCTTGATTGATACGTATCCTTAAATTACAAACTCTTTAAGAGTTTCTAAGATCTCGTAAAGCATTTGAACGAAATCTGCTACATTTATTATACGATGTATGTAGATGTCCCCATGATGGAATCTCCTAGGATCATGGGACATTATGGATCAAGTGAAATTATTAGATTATGAACATAATATACGAAAACATTTACAAGGAAAAACATTTTTACCTTAATTTGTCTAATTTGTCTCTGACAGACTTTTATATATTATTGTGTTTCCGTTAACGTTTACATTTTCTACAATCAAGCGACCAAAAATGTTTTAAGTAAACTAAAATTGCGTCAACCAAGATAGGTTTAGAGATTTAGCTTAAAATATCCAGTATATTACAAATTAAATACATATTAACACCATATCCATAAACCATACAAAAATGAAATACGTAAAATCGTATTATTAGGAAACAATGGCATGAGTAAGCTGACTAAAATCTGGAGAAACCATGAAATTACCGACGGGGCCACAATCAAACAGGTCTGATGCTTAGCCTTTCCAGTCTTTCCATATATATGGGACTGTTAGACCCTCAAGAAATGAACAAAAGAGAAAAGATATGTTATAAAGTTTTGAACCCTAGTTGGACACGTTTAAAAAAAAAGCCCTTGAGAAGGTCATAATATAGGATGGATTCGAAGGTAAACGAGCTAGAGGAAGATTCCCTGCAAGTTATACCAACCACATGACCGTTCCCCCAAGGCGACAGAGAAAACTAACGTAAAGTAGTCCCTGCATCTCTTTCTAATGGGTCGGGTTTGTCGGCCACGTGACCTTCGCTTCACTTGTGTTTGGACTGGGAAAGTCACATGGGCAATAAACCCCCTCCATAAGAAAGAGATGCAGGGATTACTTTGCGTCAGTTTTCTCTGTGGCACTGAGGAAACTATTATATATCTATGGTTAGTACATGATACCAGTACCAAGGCAGCGAATAAGAAGAATATCGTATAAATATTTTGACTACGAATAGGTTAATATAACCAAGCCAGTGAAATTAAAATACGAATAAAATTAGCATGAACGACTTTCGGCAAACTGAGAGAAACGGTATTTAAATCCAAGATATATTAGGACGCGAGGGTGTTTAAACAACGTGTGCTTCTAGTGTTGGCTTATGATATAATAAACTTTTTAACAGTTGCTAAAAAAATAGAGCAACCAAATTAAAGAGGCAATAATCAAAATGACTCAACAAGTCATGGAATGGTCGATGTTTACATTAACGCTAAGAGGGTTTCTCAAATATAATGTTAAGAGCTAAAACCGGAATTATAGATGTAAAAATTGGGTCGTACATGTATCGCAGATGAATGACACAAGGTTGACAACATAATATTGTTTTAGTGTAACTAATATTGTTTTAGCTTATTGTTTTAGACTGATGATATAAAAAGGGAAACAACAAACTGGTTACAGTACAAGATACAACTGAGGTAGGCCTATTTTCAGCAGTGGATGCTACAGACTTTGTAATAATGACTAGTGCAAAGGTTAGACAACAATAATTGATAAATTCTTTTTGTTTAGGTAGTCAGATTAGTTGACGCTTTTTAGCTGGCACCAAAGTGGGACAATATGCATATACACTGTGCGGTCTGCTCCTGGAGCTTAAATTATTTTGACATCACGTTTCAGTTTTATATATTTATATCTCTACTCACTGTATTTCAGTATTTCATTGATCTGCAGCTAGTTTCTGTAACTAACACTAACAATGAACTTGTATATATATATATATATATATATATATATATATATATATATATATATATATATATACATAATGTCACTTTAAGCTAATTAAATATACTGAAGTGATAATTAAAGTTTTCGATAATAAATTTATTGACTCCCATTTATTTTTCCATCAGTCAACGAAGCAACCTATAGACAGCGGAATAAAAGCAGACGTTCCATGTTTGTTTATCTGTATGCTTGTATATTAAACAAACATACCAGTGATAAACTAGATGATTATCGTACTATTCTACTAAGAAGTACTTTTAATGTGTATTTACTAGGGATAATGTTTAAGTCGCAATCTTTTCAGATATAAATGATTCCTGTCTAATATGAGGAATAATATATCTTAATAAAATTGAAATTAAACAGCAAACTGATTCAAGATCAAAAATAGATTAAAAATGTACGCGAATACTTTAAAAATTAAAATATCTGAGTTTATATAATATAATAGCATTCGAAATGTGGGTGTACCGACGCATTCTTCGTATATCCTGGACCGAACATGTCACCAACATAGAGGTACTCCAAAGAATCGGAAAGGAGAAAGAAATCGTGAATACAATTAAACAAAGAAAGCTTGAATATCTAGGCCACATATTGAGACACGAGAAGTACCGTTTGCTGCAATTGATTGTCCAGGGAAAAATAGACAGTAAGCGAGGGCCAGACAGGAGAAGACACATCGAAAGAAAGAAAGAAATAATTATAATTAACAATATTTTACTTTTGAGACTAAAAAATACCTCTTGTTTAAATTACTTTCGACGAACTATGTAAAGTTACTGTATAGAGAAATAAAGTTATTAAGGGAGAGAATTGTTCTGCCTAAAACTCTGTCCAGCGAGACTAGATTGTCTTTGATATTTGGTTGTGAGCTCTTTGTCCCAAACCCTATCCTTTCATTAAACTTCATTAAGAAATTTTGTGCTGCTGATAAAATCAGCAAATGTTTTATAATGATTTTAATGATTCCTGACTCAATACTTGTTTTGTTGTGTATACCCGCCTTATTTCATTAAACAGTTCACGTTCATTGAAGAGACTTATACATTATTTGACCTCTCTATTGAACTAGGTTAAAATTTGAGTCAAAACCAAAACAAAAAGAAGAATCTACAGATACTTCGGTGTACTCAATGATTTATTTATTTCAAGATGATGTATCGGAGATCACGCACAGATCCAGTTACTTTGGAGCTGTGGCCTGAAAGTAGATTATAATAAATTTATGAGATCGTACTTTCAAAATATCGAAAGAAATTTTACCCAAATTAATTTAAAAAACTTAAACTTAACTAAAAGTTAAGGAACAGTAAAAAGTCACATCCTTAAAAATCCATAAAATAAATTCTAACGACTGCAACTCAACATATATGGGGCAAATAGACCAATATCTACATAGAGGGGTTGTAGCACACAAACAGAACAAACATAGTGTACAAATCAACAAAGTCAACACGGCAACCTTAGCTAAGGATTCTCTAGAAAATATACATTATTTTGAGTTTGAAA